AAATACGAGTTATAGGGCAATTTACTGCCTTAAAAAATTACGTGTTTAGTAGACGGACCATGTGTGGTATACTACTTGTTCTGTACTTTAGCGTTCGGTTCTACACTTTAGAATGTCTAAGATGAGGTGTGGACATCTTGTTCATGGCACCTGTATTTTGGGACGGTCATCCAACGAAGCTCAATAAACGTAGCAATACTCATACGGACAGATGTTAAAGTCTCAGTTATCTAACGATTATGACTATATTATATAAGATTATATAGATTTTTAAACAAGATATTTTGGAGTTTCCTCGCCCATGTAAATGTCTTTTTCCTTAGGAAAAGGCACGTTAGAGAACTTCACGTTTGACGGTCCGCCGCTGGACGCCAGGAAACTGTCCCAGGCGTTATACATCGGGATGTTTGCCTACGCGGGATGGTAAGACTTAACTTTTTTGTTCATTTTGTATTAGGCCACACTGCCTTAATTTTATGGATGGCATCATCTAGTGCGGGCGGACGAAAAAAAATTCCAGCCACAACAAGTAAAATCTGAGATTTTATACCTCCGGGCTTTTTATTGTATATTTTTATAAAGGTTTTTTAAACAAAGAATTTATCGAGACTCGACACCCCTCTGTGTGAGGGGTCATATACGTGGACCAGACCGAGAATAGCTTAAACACGCCAAAGGTCAATGGTCGCGACCACTTTCACGCTCAAAGGGGTGTTTTGGGGCCACCAAAAGACACCATTTTCACGCCCGAAAACACATATACAATAAAAAACAAAAGAACGTGCATCATTTGCAGCCCAATAGCAAAACATATACCGAGTCTCAAAAGAATCCGTCCACCCAAACGCGAGAAACAGCGGAGGCGACAAGTCTGGCAATGAAAACATACATTGCCATGTCGACGGTTCTTACTGTTAGGGTTATTGTTTGCATGGCACCAAGGACATTCTACAAGCTTCTTGATGGCACTGCCATCATTTCATGATTTTGAGGAAGACTTCATACCTGTTAAGTCTATACAGATACAGTGCACTCCTTCCCTGAGTGTATAGTGAACGAGCCCTGGGATCACAGAAAGTAGGGCATCCGGGGCAGACAGGTCTTCCCAAGGGTTTCAAGGACAGGCCAGTGGACATTCCATGCCTGTGAACAAAATGCCTGTACCATTCTTAGAATTATTGCAAACTGCACACAATACTGTACCATTAGGCTCCTCCCTGAGACGTCGCCAAAATTGCTCCTAACCCACAGGAATACAAAGATGGTATTGTGAATTTGCGATAGAACATAAGCGACTTTCACGACAAGCCGGCATATGCTGGCCTTTTGCGGCATTTCGACACTGTACTGAATTCCGTGGAGCCTCGGCAGCCACTATATTGTCACTAGCTACCATGGACTACGGAGGATGGCACCCAGCCAGGCCAGAGCCTTGGAGGTCGTAATTTGTTTTGGAGAACAGGCGAAAATCAATACACGTGTGGATGTCATCCATAAAATCAAATCAGTGTGGCCTTAGAGTGTAGGTTATACAGGAACATACGGAAATCTTATTAATTCAGCACCCTGAATTTCAATACACGATGTAAACAGTTAGTAAAAGGCATCCTCTAACAATACCATGCAACAAAAACTCCGTGAGTTCGTATACACCTGTTTAAAAAAAGGTAAGAAACACCAAACGATAGACTCAATAATAGAAGAGCCTTATATGTTCGTCTATTTGTAAACAGTAGATGTAGTCTAGCATAGTTTTGTATTGTTTCTACGACTGACTGATTTGAAACTGCATGTACTGTATTTAGCACAAATGAACGTTAATGTACATAATCATTAATATCTATTCCTTCTCAATCTGCTTAACATGTAGTAACAGGCCTCTTTAAATGCATCCAATGCAATTTCAGAGCGGCCAAAAAAAGAAACAATATGCTGGATGAGGAAATCTGTCTGATCTTGACATTTAATACTTGAAGTGCTTGAACAACGAAACATGCTACGAGAGGAGTCTCTTCATTTTTTTGGGTACCACACATAAATAGCTAGAACCAGCGTACAATACAAAACCAGCAACATTTTTCCATCAGCGACATCGAATTTTTGTCTTACAGACATCGGTATGCTATGGGTTTGATTCAACTTACTTCATGAAAAGAATGACCAGAAATCAACTTTGCAATTATATCAAGTTTGGAAGTTTTACCGTCCTGAAGTTGAAATGGATGCCTTTAAAAGGATATATATATATATATATATATATATATATATATATATATATATATATATATATATATATATATATATATATATATATATATATATATATATATATATATATATATATATATATATATATATATATATAAACCTTTCATATGGAACATAACAAGAGCAGAAGTTTACTTTTCCTCCAGGTTTTACCTGAACACCGTTACTGAGGAGATTCATAAACCGGAAAAGTAAGTTCTTACAGTAACACATCACCGCTCACACGGATAATTTTACATGTCAATGTATACGTAATTAAGAATATAACTTAAAGGTTCTGTGTAGCCCAGCTTATTGTTGATTACAGAAGGCCAGACATAGCTGAACATGGCCTCCAGAACACTGACAAAAACCCATAGGTGGGAGTAGGTCGGTAGAAAGGTCGGCTGTGGTTGGCTGTTGTTGAGCAAGGTCGGCTGTGGTTGGCTGTTGTTGAGCAAGGTCGGCTGTGGTTGGCTGTTGTTTAGCAAGGTCGGCTGTGGTTGGCTGTTGTTGAGCAAGGTCGGCTGTGGTTGGCTGTCGTTCACCAAGGTCGGCTATGGTTGGCTGTTGTTCAGCAAGGTCGGCTGTGGTTGGCTGTTGTTCAGCAAGGTCGGCTATGGTTGGCTTGTGTTGTAGGGTCAAGTTTGACGCAAAGGTATCTCAAAATCGATTCGACTAGTATAGTAATAAATGCAGGCGTGGTTCAAATCTGGCCAGACTGTCCCCGTATTTCAGTCAATCTTCTGTATCTGCATCTATATAGCCGGTATATTAAACCGCCCTTCGGCGTAGAACACAAGCTTAAATCTTGGTTGCTTGCTATTGATGGTCGGGGTAAGGTTCCGCATGTGTGACAGCGTGGCTTTTCTATTTTGTTCCTCCCCCAGGACCATGCCCCGCGCCATGATAGTCGGAGAGGTGGTGGTGATGACCATGTACCTGCTCACCATCTTCGCCTACCACATCGTCATGTCTGCTGACGACGTCCTCGGGTCGTCTGCGGTGGCTGTGGTATGTTTGTTTTTACCTCAGAGGAAGGAGATATCCTTCCGCGGAAGGTTCTTTTTCTACGTAAATAATCTAGTCAGGTTGGTTTATGTATTCTGTTGTATTGCCGCTCTGGATCCGTGGTATATGTGTTATCTTTTGTGTTATTGTTGTGAATATTTTGAAAATGTTATTTTAATGTTTAATTTTTGTTCTTGATTATCGACAATTTATTATTTTGAAAATGAACAATAAACAAGAACTCCACTTTTTGTTATTTTAGCTGTAAGGTGACTTCTGTTTATTAATAAGTACTTGCCATTATAATTTCCTGGACGATTATGTATTATATTATTGCTATAGTGTAGCGTTATTTCATTTTTGCTGTGTTTGTTATTTACATTTTTTTATCACAGGGGCTAATTTGTTCTCGCTTTTTGTGTTGTGGACTTTTATCATCATATTTGCCATGATGCTATGTTATTTTATTCTTGGGTTCGCCCCCCCCCCCCAGGAATTATTTTCAAAACGCCAGATGCAATAAGTATGCATAAGTACGCCAGATGCATTTAATATTGCACATAGATCACGGATTTTAAATGTTTTGTTTTTAAAGCTAATACCGATGGTTTTATTGTAGTGGATTAAGTGTAAATATTTTAGCAACTTTTTCAATCTGATGCATCTGATGAGACATATGTAACAATGGGCACAATTCAGCCTACATGCAAGTAGTGCTGCAATGTCGATTGAATAATAAACCATTTGATTGATTGATTGATTGATTGATTGATTGATTGATTGATTGATTGATTGGTTGATTGATTGATTGATTGATTGATTGATAGTTTCACATGTTATGTTGAACCTGGTTGTTACAGACCTTTGCCACCCGAGCCATGGGTTCTCTGTACTGGACAGTTCCCATCGCAGTGCTGGTCTCATGTGTCGGCGTCGCGAACGGCGTGTTCCTGGCAACATCACGGTAAGACTGATAGAAGGACTTTATTGCACGGCATTGTTACACGGTACGGTACGATATGGCAACGACTATTAAACATAGCACACACACACAAATATAGACACACAAAGTATAGAATAAAACTTAAAATCCTAACTACTAAGACAGCAAGGGCTAGCATAAGTCTTTATATAGTGCTAATCATTGGTTTCGGTACTTTTTCTAATAACAAAGCACTGTCTTTTCTATATTTATATATTTTTGCATAACGCGAGTTGTTGCATTTAAACTGGAGGATTCGATGCCCAGGGCAACGCAATAAGGAAGTACTCCCCACTGTGGCTTCTCCAGCAGCTTGAATAGTGAATTGACCCCCATAACCACATAAGCTAATAAACATCCTAGACGGTCCAGCCACCAAAAACAATGGCAGGGACAAATTAGCATAATAACTGTCACTGTCTTTTTGAACAAATTCAAATGTTTTTCTGTACTGGTTTTCAAAGTAACAATATCAAACCATGCAGAATGATCGGGATAGCTGTAACTGAGTCACATAATCAAGAAAATACTATCTGCAACTTTCAGTTTCTGGAAAACCAACTTTGTGGTCAAATTTCAATTTACAAACTGCCTTGTCAACATTTCATCAAAGTGTCTAATTGTAGATATCTATATGTCAACCTCAGAACTGAAGTAGCTTGGATAGTAAGTGAGTCTAGAAATATGGGTTGCAATTGCGGTGTCAATTTGGTAGTATGAGAAAGCAGTATACATTATTACATGCACTGGATCTCTGTTAGAACTATTCACGTAACTGCCGGCCAATCTATAACACTACATGTATTAGATAAACCTTGGCAAGACAGTACAGTGTTGTAATTACTTTATATTCTGGGTTAGGTGAGGCTATCTTCTTTATGTACAACAGACTGGACATGTACATAAATTCCTCTGCTGTCAATATGTTTCAAACACAAAGTGTCTTCAAGAGCCCTCTGTCCATGTTACCACCACAGTAGGCAGGGACAGAATGGGGCCTGGTAGTTTACGTTAGCCGAATTTATTGGGTTCTTATATAGTGCAAGCCTGCTCTTTAAAGATACATGTATATTCAAATCTGTATTTAACATGAATTTCTTGAGATCTGTTGTACTTAATTCAAGAATTGTGAATAGTCTATAATCTAATCATTTTTAATTTGCTTTGGACAAAATGACATGCTAAGAACGTGTGTGTGTTTGTTGTTTTTCTTATTTTGTGACTAACCAATCTAAACCTGCCGTTTTGCAGTGTGATGTACGCAGGCGCGCGGGACGGTACCCTTCCCTCCATCCTGAAGACTCTTCACGTGGACAAGTGCACCCCCATGCCTGCCATCATTCTACTGGTCAGTTATCAAGACTTCAAACTGCGTTATTTCAGGGTTAATGACCCGCCCCGAGGTGTATATAAAGTGATAAAGCTTTGTCAGTTGTTTTATGAGGTGGTTATGACGCGTTATGACGTGTAAATGATGTGTTATATGTTTGTTCCAATGTCCTATCTTCTAATCATGTTGGCCGTAAGCAACGCGTTATAACGTGTTAATGACGCGTATTATATGTTTGTCCGAGTGCCCTATCTCCCTGACCATGTTGGCAGTGGGTGACACGTTATGACGCGTTAATGACGCGTGTTATATATTTGTTTCAGTGTCCTATCTCCCTGGCCATGCTGGCCGTTAGTGACGCGTTATGACGCGTTACGACGCGTTAATGACGTGTTATGTATTTGTTCCAGTGCCCTATCTCCCTGACCATGTTGGCCGTGGGTGACACGTTATGACGCGTTAATGACGCGTGTTATATATTTGTTTCAGTGTCCTTTCTCCCTGGCCATGCTGGCCGTTAGTGACGCGTTATGACGCGTTACGACGCGTTAATGACGTGTTATGTATTTGTTCCAGTGTCCTTTCTCCCTGGCCATGTTGGCCGTGGGTGACGCGTTATGACGCGTGTTATATATTTGTTTCAGTGCCCTTTCTCCCTGGCCATGCTGGCCGTTAGTGACGCGTTATGACGCGTTACGACGCGTTAATGACGTGTTATGTATTTGTTCCAGTGTCCTATTTCCCTGGCCATGTTGGCCGTGGGTGACACGTTATGACGCGTTAATGACGTGTTATATATTTGTTTCAGTGCCCTTTCTCCCTGGCCATGCTGGCCGTTAGTGACGCGTTATGACGCGTTACGACGCGTTAATGACGTGTTATGTATTTGTTCCAGTGTCCTATTTCCCTGGCCATGCTGGCCGTGAGTAACGTGTTAGTGACGCGTTACGACGCGTTAATGTGATGTTATATATTTGTTCCAGTGTCCTATTTCCCTGGCCATGCTGGCCGTGAGTGACGTAAGTAAGATCATCACGTTCCTGAGCTCGGTGCGGTGGTTGTTTATCGGCATGTCAGCCCTCGCCATCCCCTGGCTCCGGTACAAGCAGCCCTATCTACACAGGCCAATAGTGGTACATGTCTTCTTATCGCTTTCATGCAAGTTATAATTCCCATAGGCCTTGTGCCATGTTGATTTGATATGCATATGAATGTCATCCTATGGAAACCCAAAAACTAATGCAAACGTACGAATAAAAATTGCCTTCATTATAAAATCTACGTCGTTATGAAGGTTAAACAAATTATTAAACATACAGAGTATGGTATTGCGCGTAATGGACTCTTAATTTTTATTTCTTCGCATGTTCGTCTTTTTTAATTGATTTTCGCATTCTAAGACATTATTGTCGTTTCCAGATATTTTTTTTTCTATTTACTGCATATATTTTCTCATTTTGTAGCTGCTTTGTTATTTTTACAGCGTTGTCGTATTAACTTTTTTGGAAACGGACGATCATTCATGCATGCGCGGATGTCATCCACACAATCAAATCAACAAGGTCTCTAGAAGTAAAAGCGGCTCTATTGGTAAAGTATCTCCCAACGTCTCTCTGAATTTTTAGTCTCAGAACAGATACTTTTGTAACATACAACTAGAACGTCTGTGCGTCGCGTTTATCACTTTATCGGTTGAAAGACTTCTAGCACCAAGGACAGGAACCGCCTATCACCAGCCACAAGGACATACCGTTACAGTGCAGAGACGTATGTGGTATTGCGTGGCGTTCGCGTGGCGTTCGAGTGGCGTAGCGGTAGCGTGTTCGGCCAAGGCCCAAGAGGTCCCGGGTTCGATTCCTGCCAGGTGTCACCGATCTTGTGCCCTTGAGAAAGGCACTTTACACGACTTTCCTCACTTCACTCAGGTGTAAATGAGTACCTAGCTTCGGTTAGGACGTTAAATGGTCCCGTGTTTCGTGTTTGAGAGAACCACACTCCACGCTCGTTAAAGAACCGACCACACTTATCAAAGAGAGCAGGGGACCTTCCCAGTGTGAGTGGTTCACAACTTCACACCTTACAGTCTGGTCTCAGATCTGACATCTTGAAGAGGTGACAGTCACCTGTTATGTCAATCCTTCCACAAATGTGGCAAATCTTCATAAAATAAAAAAAAATAGAATAGAATAGAATAGAATACATGTAGAATAGAATAGAATAGAATAGAATAGAATAGAATAGAATAGAATAGAATAGAATAGAATAGAATAGAATAGAATAGAATAGAATAGTAATGATCAGTGCGTTCATCTTGGGACCAAGATATCCTGGGCTCGATCCCCTGTCATGCCGAATGTTGTGCCTTTGGAAAAGGCCATTAATACATCTTTTCTCACTTTATTCAGGTATAAAATGGATACCTAGCTTTGGTTAGGGACGTCCCTCAGATAGGACATTTAACGGAGCTCATGTGTTTTGAGAGAGCCACGTGCACACCCCACGCACGTTAAAGAACACACCTTTTGGAAAAGTGGGGGATACCCCAGTGTGCGATGGTCCAAATACTACTATCTGAAAGTTGATGATTCACTACAAATCGACGGAAGCCTGGTTAACTCCCGTCTCTGTATGAGCTACGAAAATATGACAATAATGGTCGATTTCTTGGCAGATGTGCATGATCATAAGGCCACACTGACTTTTCTTGAGTTAGTAATAAATGGTTTTATTGTCCAAACAGTACCCGTACAGTCGCAGCCTTTGTACGGCTGAATTGATGCAGGGTATCACATAATAATCAATACAAATCACAACAATCAAATAATACACATCATGCACATATTTGCTCCACAAATTTAATTTTGTGGAACTGTCGCAAGGGTCTGTTCGGCTGCCATTGGGTGACCTCAATACGACTTTCCCCAACCGAAGTTAGGTACCCAATCACACCTGGGCGGAGTGAGAAAAGTCGTGTAAAGTGCCTTTCCCAAGGGCACAACGTCGGGGCATGCACATGTTCAGACATGTACCGGGTACGACTCGGAATCGAACCCGGTCTCCCCGCCTCGCTGCCGTCCTCCGTAGTTACCGCCGGCTCCATATTGTCAGTAGCTACCAGCTACCATGGACCATGGAGGATGGCACTCAGGCCAGAGCCTCGGAGGATGTGATTCTTTTTTTTTTTTTTTTTAGTACAGTCGAAAATCAATGCCCACGCGGATGCCATACATAAAATTAAATCAGTGTGGCCTAAAGAAGAAAGACGTATATGATCTTCCTGAAAGGAAATCTCTTCCTTGACTGAAATCTCTGTTTTTTTTCACAGTACCCTGTGTGGATCCCGATCGTGTTCGCCACCTGCTGCGCTGCCATGGTAACGATGTCAGGCTACTCCTCACCGGTTGCCATGGCGACAGGCCTCGGTATCACCGCCACGGGACTTCCGGTCTACTGGCTCGTACGCGTCCAAAAACCTGCATGGATACAGAACTGTATAGGTACGGACGGGCTTATAATTCTCCATGTCATTCGTAGATCTTTTGAGGAGGGACCACCAAATGAATTTGCCACATGAATTCTATGCTGAAACCACCAGAAACAATTATTTAAAATGCATCTACCCTTTTTTAAACCTCGAGTCTATATACACCCGGGCCTCTGCAAAGCTAAATTTGTCAGGTTTCTTTGGGTACAAAATACAAATTGTGGAATACAAATATTTTAATGAGCTACAGCCAAAGTATTGAAATGACACCAGGATTTTACACCCTGTCTCAGTGGTTCAGTTCAATCAGTGAAGTATTTAGCGTCCAATATAAAGCGTTCGAAATAGGCCCAATACAAGCCAGGTGAAGCATCTCTTTACATGTTTTTGGCGGGTACCGAATCGGACTATACAGCCACAGCGTGACCAGGATGCAACGCCATTGTCTTTCGAGACAGACGGCTGCCAACGACAACTGATTCAATTTACTGGTTAAAAAGAAAATTGACTTTAAAAATCAATCCTATAATCCTATATTCACACTATTGATAGGTCAATACTTGTCTTGAGTGGCTGACTTGAATGCACATTTTCACGCTAAACCACACCCTGTATTCTGTGACAGACATAGCGGCTTCTTGAATGCACATTTTCACGCTGAATCACACCCTGTATTTTGTGACAGACATAGCGGCTTCTTGAATGCACATTTTCACGCTGAGTCACACCCTGTATTTTGTGACAGACATAGCGGCTTCTTGAATGCACATTTTCACGCTGAATCACACCCTGTATTCTGTGACAGACATAGCGGCTTCTTGAATGCACATTTTTCACGCTGAATCACACCCTGTATTCTGTGACAGACATAGCGGCTTCTTGAATGCACATTTTCACGCTGAATCACACCCTGTATTCTGTGACAGACATAGCGGCTTCTTGAATGCACATTTTTCACGCTGAATCACACCCTGTATTTTGTGACAGACAAGATGACGGTGAAACTTCAGCTGCTGCTGCAGTGTGTGGAGGAGCAGTACGAAGACGAAGACGCGAACAAAAGCGAGCTGGCCAGGGCTATCGACCACTCCCTCATCCCCACCGAAAAACGTCGGTACAACAATGGACACAAGTACGCCATGACGGCTTTGTGAATATGAAAGGCTTCCAATGCGATTTCAGGGCAGCAAAATTGGAAATATCCTGTATAAGGCATTCTTTGTAATATAGAAATATATATATTATACTGCTTCACATTAGCACATTTAAATCAGCATTGCATACTTTGAGCATCTAAAACTGCAGGAGAAGCCCCAAGATGAGTCCATTATTTTCAAGGTGTTACGCTAAAAATCAACCCAGGGCCCTTCCAGTAACTATTTTCCGTCAGAATTTTGGGAATGTTTGCTCCACGAGATTAATATACATTGGGAAAGTGTGGTTTCAACTTAGTATGTAGATGAATGACTAGAATATTGGCTTTCAAAAATCGGGATTTCAAGCCCTAAAAACTGCAATGGATGCCTTTGAATATTGCTCATGATATAAAAAAAAATAGCCTTCTTCGCACACTTGTGGGGCGGCGGTGTTAGTTTTTTTGTCGGGGAGCGACACGAGCTATGCCCGGCATAACAAGGCGGCAAAACCGTCTCTCCGCGGCTTAACTCGCGTCGCTCCACGAAAAAAAAATAACTACGCCTCCCCACAAGTCTATTGCGAAGGAGGCTATCAAAATACGACCTTATCTGTTGGCAAAACTAGTATTACCTGCCTATCAGAGACAAGTTATAATAAATATACATGTAGACGGTTCTCCATTCAAAATTTCACTGCCCCGCCAAGTCAGCACAAGCCAGTCCCGGCAAACTATTCGCATTTCTGCGTTTAATCTTTGCATTTCTGTATTTTTTTCCTGAGCTGATGTCACCCCATGATGTCAGCACCGGAAAAACACAGAGATGCAATAATAAAAAAATAAAAAAATTAGAAAAAAGAACAACAACAACATAGAGATGCAAAAAAGAGATGCCTGAGGCGGACGATTGCGAAGTTTGCAGGAGAGCGTCCAAAAATGCACTTTTGAAAGGCCGACTTGTATAAACCCAAAAGTCTCAGTCATGATTTGAAACCAACTTAAGTGACTATACTGTATGTATGTATACATTCGGTATTTATGTATTCTAAAGACTTTTTTGTGTCATACAGTCTTTAAGCTACTCGCATTTGCTGTACACTATTAGATTTTTCCCCAATGGATCTTGAAAGTGAACCATTATTTAGATCGTGCAGAATGGATGCTTATTAGCTTGATAATTTACTTTTCAATGAATATCTATATCAATTGCTCTCCAGTAATTTATGTAAATGTTACGGTATGTATGTGGACATAATTCTATCATTTTAAAGCAAATGCTAAAAAGCATGTTTAAGGTGAATGTTGCGATATGTACATACGGCTACAATTTTGTCATTTTTGAGGTAGTTAATCAAGCTCTTTTTTTATACTTCAAATTCGTTTAATATGTTACAGGTACTAGTATTGTTATAGGAGGTAGTTTCAGTCAAACCCTTTGGTATTATAATATAGTTTTTTTGTGCTGTATTTTAGGGGAGAAATCCAACCCGCGGCAAAGATTTCTTCCAGGTCATCAAACAAACCTAGTGTTGTGGTACATTTTTCGTGAAAAATAGTAAGTGTAGTGGGGAAGTGAAGAAAGCAATGATGAGGTCCGTGATTTGGCTCATATTTAGTTGTCAAGAGGGGCGACAGCATTTTTTACATTTTAAAATGAGAATGAGTGTTCAGTGCACAGTGAACCATGTAACACCTAGTTCCAGTGCACAGTAAATCAGTTATATTAGCCCTGATGAAGATGGTAGACGGTCATCGAAACGTCATGTAAAACAAATAGTTGTGAATAAAGGAAGTTTACTATTCAATCATTTATTAATCTGATGAAATTATGTACGGGTGTTGAAGCTTTATGACATTTCTATACCCGTGCGTCACAAAAAATGAAGTCATGTCTTGTGGTGAAGCTTTTCACATAGTTTTTACTCACCATCTCAGCGAACAGATATTGAGAAACCTGTCGGTAACGACGAGTACTGCAGGCTTGTGGGTGGTTAGTTAGGCCACACCGACTTAATTTTATAGATGACGTGCGCGCGCATTAATTTTCGCCTGTCGCCCTCAAAAAAAAAAAAAAAAGATCACGTTTATCGAGGCTCTGGACTGGTTCTAAGCCTGGGTAGTCAATGGTAGTTAGCGACAATACAGCGAGAGCTGGGCATCCCGGTTACCGAAGATCCACGACTAAAGAACTCGCTACATACGTACCGATTCATAAATGCCGCAAAAAGCAAGCATGCATGTACCGGCTTGTCATATACGTCGCTAAGTACTGCTGCAAATTCACAACACCAGCTTTGTATGCCTATGGTTTAGTAGCATTTTCTTATTTTTGGCCTGAATTTTTATTTTATTCGCCAGCGCGCACTAGTTTGGGGGTCTTCAGAGGATGTCATCCATAAAATTAGACGGCGTGGCCCTAGTCTAAAATGGGTCAGTTGAGGTGGATCCTGTTCACTGCTCGCGCAAAATGTGGCGTCGGTGGCGCGACGGTTAGAGCGTTGGACTCGAAACCAATAGGTCCCGGTGTCAGCCATATACATGATCTTGCCAAATACATGACTCAACACTACTGGGGGTTTCCAATATACATGAACCTGACACAAGGGGTGGGAGGGGTTTAGTCGTGATGTGGGAGGCTAAACCCAACCTAACCCCAGTCGTAAGTCTAACCCTAGCCTTGAACAATAATCCCAACTCTAACCCTAACTCTAATACCAACCCTAACCCTAGACCTACATTTTGTAAACATCTGACCTCTTACGAATGTGGCAGCTCAAGGATTTGGTTCAACGCCGGATTCGATACTCACCATGCCGCGACGTTGTGCCCTTGGAAAAGGCACTTCTCACGACTTCCCTCCCTGTACGGTGGAGTGACGCCCATCGAGCCATCGAGGCTAATCTGTCTAGATGTGTGCTAAAAACAAACTACGGGTTTGGTGCGCCAATTTGCCAACATCTGCACACTTTTCAAAAAATTATTTCTTTTTCTCACGAGCAACAAGATGCAACATGAATGTGAAAGCATCCAATGCAATATGAAGGCGGCAAAACAACAAAAAACTGACTAACATTCACATTAACTATCATTTCATAGCACATTTTATCATTATCTCATACATGAAGCGTTTCAAAACACCCCAAAACAAGCTATATATGTAAGGCACTTTTTTTTTTTATTTTTCGGGTAAGATACCCATAAATATCCAGAACCAGCTAGCTGTGATTAAAAACAAGCAACAATTTTTCTGTCAGCGACATCACATTTTTGCCTTACAGATATCAGTATGATAGTAGATAGTAGATTCTTTCAGCCAGGTAGGTATCCATCCAGTTTAGGCTGCTCGTTGCTCTACCGGACTGTCATTCCCGGCCTATGCGGGCAATCCAGGGCCGTGTGATTGTACATAATTGGATGTCTCTCCATATATTTGTCAAGTCTGTTCTTGAAGGCATTTACCGAGGGTGCAGAGACCACTTCTTCAGGAAGACTGGCTAGTAGACTGCTAGGGAGTATGCTATGGGATAGGATTGATTCAATTGACTACATTAAATCAATGACCATAGAATTGACTTACCGCGCTTAAAACGCTTTGTCTAAAGCCCGTGACTGTAACATTACGTGTTTACCGTACCAACTAACAGGAACAGAATGCCTCCATAGCGACGGCTATCGAACAAGAGGCGCGTCGTTCAATTCAAAGAACGGCCGCTCGGCGGCGCTGTTCCATAGAACATGTCTGGCACGTCACAGAGCAAACGCGATCGTCCCAACGTTTCCCGGGGCGATCGCTCAAACATCAAGAGCACAGAAAGGACAACAACAACAACAACAACAAAAGAAAACATGGAGAGGGCGGAGAAAGAGCAAGAGTCACCATCCAGGTTAGTAAGTTGTTTTTTTTTAACCGTCTTGATACAGAGACTAGTTCAAAAGCCGGTACAGCCGTCCAAACGGTTGTACTTCGATCTGTTCTAATTCGAAACCATTGACGATACTCTACTAGTAGGTGACTTTATATAGCAAGATACAAGATTCAAGATATTTTTATTGGTTTGTCGCAGTTCGCCGGTGAAATGAATTAAAAGCCAGCGTACAACCAGGTTTATGGACAATAATATTTCACAAAATACATGTATATGTTTATCATTGAAATCCACATCTACGTCACAGATAGAATACTAAAAGACAGTACTGGTTTAAAAAACGTGTTATGCTGAGGTCACATTTCCAAACCGGGGCCCGGCCGGGCTGTTTCGACTAACAAAAAATGAACAATATATATCAATACGATACGTACATAGTTCCCATTTTTAATTTTTTCAACGTTTTTTGTGCTTTGTTGTCTTGTATATCATACTTTTTTGTTTCATAATACTTCCCGGCCGGTCCCCGTTTTTTTTTTTTTATGTGACCTCAGCATTAGGTATGGTACCAGCTAGAGACTCAGAGATGCTATATCGGAGAATGTTCAATTTGTGTCCATTAGGGTATTTCTTCTAGATGGTAGATCTACGACTCGGTATCCAGTGTTTAAATTCAGAGTTTGGAAGAGATCTAGCAAACTTCAGACACGGTTTCTCTCACAGTCTTGTAATAATTGTGACCACGAACGTATATAAAAGCATACTTGTTTGTGGTGTCGTGTAGCCTAGTTGCCAAGCAAGCGGACATAAGATCAAGAGTCACGGGTTCGATTCCATGCATTTCAGGCTATTTGCTTATTTTGTTTATTGTTTATTTGCACATATCTATTAAAATTACATAGATACTTAAAAAGGACGATAAGTCGGGGACGCCTGCAAGCTATGTGTATTTTCCTTGGCCTTCCCAAAACGAAATAATAAATGTGATATTATTGCATATTCATGATTAACATATTAGACAAGAAATCAAATCATGTTACGGAAATAACTAGACGGGCTTTCTCCTTTACCCTTAGTTGTGTATTCCTATGCTTCCTGTTAAAGTTTTACTGGTATTAAATTATGGTTAAAACTAGGTTTTATCATTTTGTAATATTTCAGTCGTATTTAATTTGTATCATATTGATTTGGGCCGTTAAAGTTTCTTCGTTATTGTGAACTGTTTTAAAGCATCAATAAGTATTAGTTTGTAATATCTTTCTTTCCATTAATTTCATTTTACCATATGGTACGAGTATTATTTGTTACCTCTAAACGAGGCGGCCTCAATATAATCAAATTTGATGTTTATTGCAAATTCATGCCCGAGGGCTAATTGCATACAGACATTAACAAGAAAAATGTGGTGATATAAGACTATTTGCTAACAACTTCTACGTGTACGATATACTTATCGAACCTACTATCTCTACTTAAACCTAATAACGTTGGAATACATACAGGGTAAAAAGTAGATACAATAAGCCCTTTCGCAATTACTAGTGCGCCTGCGCGAATTTGACGTTCGATCCAAAAATTGGAGATAAACAGAGAGATAAACAGAGCCGCAGACGCCCTTGTGCCAAGCACCATCATGTCTGAATTTCCAGCTTACACACGGCGTTACCGGTGGTGACCCGCCTTGGGCTGAGTTCCAACGATGTTCTGGACCTAGTTTGCCAAAAATATCGTGATATCTTTCTCTTCAAGGGGATTTACGGTAGGTTTTTTTGACGATATGCAAGCTAGCGCTACCGCCTGCATGCCCCCCTCCCCTCATGTTTTCTGCTCAATTTTCCTGACCAATCTCGCTAAAACGAGTTTTGGAACATCTATTTTATTTTTAGAGTGGTTATATGGGTAAAATAGTGTGGAATCTTTTACTGGCATATGTTTTGGACAGTAAAACATTTCGATAAATAGCATTGGCTTTTGTCTGCACAACAGGCCGATATGCGTGGCACGTCTTTGTCTCGTGTCACCGCAAGCACATAAAGCTTTCTAACCGCAATCCTCACGACGAATTAACGATTATAATAACCATGAATGAATAGCACATGCAGTGAGTGCACCAATAATTTTAGTAAATATTTAGTGTGGTTTTCGTAGTAGGAATACTAGGATACATGGTGGTGGGGTAGGGTTTTATGCATGCAAAAATTATGCTAGTGCAGTCAAGACAAATGTTTTGAACTTAAATCCATGTAGTATCACTTTTTGTTCAATTTTCCTCTCTTCTTCTTTTTACAGTGTTACTGTCCATCATGAAGCTGTGTGCAGTAGTGAATTGCAGCAATTCAACATACCATCTAAACAAATGGACATGCCAAAAACATGGTACCAAACTTGGCTGCTGCGACTGCCCCCCACCGTTCAAACTATTCCCATTCCCTACTGAGAAGAAAAGACCCGATGCCAGAAGACGGTGGAACAAACTAATAAACAAGAAAGACTCGGTTAGCAATAAAAACTGGGTTAACAAGCCACATGATAGGGTTTGTTCTCAACACTTTATAGATGGCAAACCCACAGCAGCACATCCTGACCCCGTCCTACATCTCGGCTACACAGGGCCTTCATCTGACCAGAAGGTAACGCCAAAGCGACCACCTCCATCAAAACGTGTTGCGGTTCCTGACCCCCAAAAAAGAAAAAAGAAGCCACGTACATGTACTAGTATTGATGAAGATGATGTTGTAATGACTCCGGTGGAAAAGACAGAGCATGACCACAGGTACACTTACAAATGTGACTGCAGAGAAGAATGTGACTGTCAGGGCTGTATAACTAGTATAAGTAAGCAAATACAGATAAACACACTGGAACATAGGGTGGAAGAACTAGAGCAGGAAGTCATCTCGCTTAAAACTCAACAGAAGGTCTCTGAAAAAAATCATGTGGAAAGAAACAGATGTTTACTGCTGACAGTATGAAGACTGACAATGATGTAAATCATTGTATAGGATTAAGGTCAAAACAGGCATTTAATGACATGTATCAGTACCTAGAGCCACATGCTAGGAAGATGACCTACAGGAAGACCTTTTGCTTAGACATGCTACTTCGGAAGTTCCACCTGCTGCACAGGGGAATCGTCAGATGACTAGGGACAAAGTAGGGAAAACAAAGGAAGTGGCTAACTTGGGAATTCATGTGGAACGGGCAATCAATAGACTTAAGGACTTCAAAATCCTGGGGGGTACATTTCCCATAGCATTGATATCAGCAGCAGATGATATTGTCAAGGTCTGTGCTGCATTAGTTAACCTGCAGTCAGGCCTGATCAAGTAAACCTGACAGTGTCATTCATACTAATCATAGTCTACATCTCTGAGCCTACATATTCATCATCTTTTTTTAGTCATCATTTTTTTAGTAATCATTATATGCAATGTAAGTCATCATTACATTGCATATACTGTATCATACATGAAGTGAGTGCTTGTTGTTGTAAGGATTGCCTTTCTACATAGAAGGAAAATGATACAATTTTCTTTTGAAATGAAATCTTTCACTTGTTAAATGTTTTTCACTGCTGGGAAATACTTCATAAACAAATGCCAAGGACATAATAATGTATGAGTTTACCCTATAATCTATATACATGTGTATAACTATCCAACACTATATCTACTGCATTTTCGCACTAGAATGCATGAAACTTGAACAGCAAATTTTGAACAATGAAATTGTGAAACAAGATTTTTTGGAACATTGAGATAACTCCTTGGTTGGAATAAAAATGACCATATGGCTGATAGAACTTCACTCTGTGGTTTTGGAGTTATTGTTCTTCTGTATCTTCCTGTGTACAAGTTCAGTGGCAACAAACTCCTTGAAGAACTGTTCAGCTGCAACAAGTGCCCCTGTCCACACATCCTCCGCATGGTAATTTTTTAGTGATTAGATACAACAACAAGATTTCAGTGGGCCCACAAACCACGTGGCCGCTCGCTCAAGTGACTCCTGAACTCTGAACCCCGAACTCTCTAGAACTGTCTCGGTT